AAAGACACAGGGCTCTGGTAAGTGCCAAGTGAAGGTTTTTACAGCTCCTTTGCTAGGTGTATGTGTCCAGGGCTATAGATTGTAGTCTGAAATGTGGCACTAAATTCTAATGCTTCATAAAGAGCTGCTTGGAAAATTTTGTAGGTAAGAGATTTAAGCTAATCATTGACTTTGAAAATTTACCTAATGCTTAATAGTACAAAATGGGGTGATCTATGTTCTTCTTACATAAAACTTACTTAAAAGAATCCCCAGACTTGTGATTTTGCTATCTTGAGTAGGAGGATGCAAAAGAAAACATTGGTAGATGGAGACCTACAAAATCATAGTGACATCTGCTTCTGTAAATTTATTTGTTGAGTACTCATCTTTTCAATGTTGCTATTGTAAACTAAGTCAGGGGGAAACTCATTGGGAGACTGGAAAACTGCTTCTCAGTTTTTAATGGGGTTGAACATCTATCTTCTACTCACCTTTTTTGTGTCAAAACCTTCTGCTTCTTGGCTGTTGTTGTCTCCTCAAAGACCATCTGGCACTTGCCTTATGCTGTTACCAGGAGGATAGACTCCTTGTTGTGTCAGATGTCATTTAATTTCACTGCTTAATTGTAACCATTTATATTTTGATCAAATATTTGTTTTAAAAAATAATTGTAAAGCATAAAGATTCAGTTGGAATCCTTGAAGTTAAAATAGAAAGGACAGCTGGGTCTTATTTAAGTTTGAAGTATGCAAGTCTGTGAAATAACAGAAGCACCACCAGCAACAATAAAGCAATTCTAAAATGCACACAGCTGTCTATCAAGCAGCTTGGAATTGAGCTATTTTTAAGTCTTCTCTCTCCATTACACAAAATATTCATGAGATACATACTAATTTTCTTTGGCTGTTTTAGTCAAAGTAAACAAATGGTATCTTGTCTCAAACCAGTTAATTTTTTTTTTTTTCTGTAGCAACTGGAGTGTTTACCTAGAACTATCCCGAGTGTTATAGAGGAGTAATTTGATCAGGAATGCTGTTGCCTAGAGTACTGTTCTGTTTTGTTTATTTATTTGATGTCTTTGCCCTCAGTGGAATTTTTAATACTGAAGTGTTTTATACTCCAGCGCATGAATCTTCAAAGTCTTTTGAGCCTTTTTTGCATTAAGAACTTTATCAAATTTTTATCCATCTTTTCTGAAAAGATTTTTAAACCATAGAACAATTCTTCTATCATGTGTATGTAAATTCTATAACCTTCTACACAGTAATTGCCTTGAGAGAGCAATAATACTTGAAGATTTATAGCTGTGAAATCTCTTTTTTGATAGAAGTATCAGATACTTTGATGCCACGGGAACCAAAAAGCTGTTACTTAAATTATATAATTAAATTATCATTCAGGTGTAAGAATCACTAGCAATTTAGTGAATCTTTAAAAGAATAAAAAAGTGGTAAAGCTGGAGTGCAGTGGTTAGCCTGTAGTTAGCAGGTTTTTTTAATCAAAGCTAGAGTGTATGGATGCTTTCCTTCAGCTGCATGGTTACAATTCACTGTGGGGTAAGTGGCATTAAGTAAAGTCACACATCACTGTGTCCCTTTGCCCCTTGCTGTGCTGAGATACATTCTTTCAGCTGTTTTTGAACTGTTACAAAGTGGAGAGGTTTCTTGCTTATTATGAAAATTTTTTTTAATAAAGCTGTGAGATGGAATGATATGTTTAACAAAATTTGGGACCTCTTATTTGGCCCATTTTTGGTAAAGAGAGTGGAAAGCTGATTAAACCATTAAAAGCTTCAATTTATTTTATTTATAGAAACTCTTCTAAAGAATATTTTCTGGGAAGAAGGAATGTAGTGAGGAGAAGGCATAGGAAAATGCACAGCCTAAAGCTCTGGTAGTATTTAAAATTGGTGCCTATGTTAATCTAATATGAGCTCACCACAGACCCCAGGGGAACTTGACGCAGGATTCCAAAGAAACTTATTAACATCCAAAGTGTGTTTTTTATAATAAAAGTCAGGAGGTTTTCTTCCTGAAAGAAAAAATTCTGTGCTTTTTATATTTGACGAGGGGAAGGAAAATATACAATAGAGGTCTTAACATTCTGTTTAATGATTTTATTAGTTTCTATGCATTCACTGTGGTCTAAATCCAGGTTTGGTCTAAATCCATGAACCTGAGCATTGAGCTAATTTATTTTTGTGAAAATGCACAATTAGCTCTAAACATTTAATAATTTTTATTTAACAGTGCAATTATTTTAGTAATTAAGAGTATTTAAATTTCTTCCTCTGTTTAATATTAATTATAAATATTATATAAAGAAAATTATTCATGTTATGACTGATTTTTCTTTGAAATACTAAATGCACTCTGGTTGTGAAATAACTTGACTGCCTTATTAAATAGTGCTTTGGTAAGGCTAGCTTACTTCACAGAGAAATCTGGCCTAGTCTGCTTCTCTTGCATATATAGAAACTACAGTATATAGACACCCAGACACTACAGAATAACCATACAGACAGAAACAACTCAGGTTTGTAGGCATTGAGAATGTGAGTAGGCTGAACTATGGAAAACATTAAAAGGAGAATACCAATAAGGCATAAGGCAGGCTGGAATGAGAGTAATTTGTTTAACCACTGGTTGGTCAGTCAGTCAGGACTTACCAAGCAGTGATGAATTTCAACCAACTACTGGCAAAAGATATGTTAAAATCCCTGTAGTCTTAAAGTTTTTCTTCCTGAACCTTTGGGAACTTTGTAGTGTAACACTAGACTTTCTGCTCCTTTGGAGGGCTCTTCCTCAGAGAGGATCTCGGGGAGGATATGATTCCTAGGATTTGGGTTTTAATTCTTGCTTGTTCTGGAACTTTTGATTTTGATAGTTTGGGCAATATGGCACTACAAGGAAGTAAAAAAATATAGTGAGTGTAACAACAATGAAATAGCCTGAGATTTCTTAGAGCATTTAAATCTGCAATTCTTGTGGGGTTTTTAATTTGTCTTACCTGTTTGACACAAAGAAGTCAAAAGCACCCAACAATCTTATGATTAAATTGTTTTAATGAATTTTTTAATAGAATTTGTATTGTATTAGAATTAAGAGATTAAACTTAGTTTACTTTTGAACAGAAAATAATATTGCAGTGAATTGGCTGCCTAGTTTTATCTAGATTATGTCAGTAGGCAGCAGTTAATCTTTGTGGCAAAATTAGTTATCTTCTATTGTGTCTGTACTTTGCATTTCATGCTATTGAAAAATAGAAAAAAATATCCTTCACTATGCTATCTAATTTGTTGACAATATTTCAAAACATTATAGAAGAAGCCTGCATTTTGTGGTCATTAGAAATCCTTAAATAATCAGATTTGCTAATGTCGTTAGACTAGTCTATAATGTTAGGGTGTAGGTGTCTTATTATGACGTATCCATGGAAACAGGAAACTAAGGCTTATCAAGACTGAGGCTGAAACTCTAATTGCTGAAACTCTAGCTAATTTCTACTGCTTCTGTTGTTCTGAGCACCAGAGCTTGCCATCAAACAATACAAAGCATAACAGAACAGTGTGTAACTTGGGGCTGAAATTATATGTCAATATTCTCACTCTGGACTATTCTTGTCTAAGTTCAGTACTCCTCTACTGTAACAGCATTGGTAAATGCATTTAATTACTTGTGAAAACATCATTAATTTCTAAAGTTAAGATGCTGACAAACCTGTCTGGTGAACAGTGTACTTCTGTGGTCCGTATGTACTTAATTCTTGGGAATTCTTTTGGTATGTAGGATAAACTAACAGCAGTGGTTTAATTTCTTCCTTTTGACAATGCTTGTTGTCTGATACAACCTTTTTACCTTGAAAGATTCTCTTTTTCAGAGAGGTTCTGGAGACATTTCCTAGACAATTCTTAATTCCAATTAAAGTTTTCATTTTGAGAATCAAAAGGAATGTTGGGGGTTTTTTTCCCTTAAAAGTGTGTGCAGTGATGCTCTATGGGCTGTCATAGGTGTGTAAGTACACAGAGCTCTTGCTGTGAGTTGCGTGCTATGAGGTTATTCTTTGTTTTGAAACAGGAGATCCTGAGAAGGAGCTTAATCCAAAGAAGAAGATTTGGGAGCAAATCCAACCTGATCTTCATACCAATGACCACTGTGTTGCTACATACAAAGGAGTTCCATTTGAAGTGAAAGGGAAAGGAGTGTGCAGGGCAGAGACCATGGCAAACAGCGGAATTAAATAAATGGTTATTAGAAACTTCTACAGACATTGAAGTGAAAAGTTGATGCAAGCACAATAAAAAACATGAAATGCATGGCTAATACCTGTTTTGTTTGACTTCTTTTCCATAATGTTACATCTCCAATATTTTGACAATTCACTCATTCACTAGACTTGTTGTCCTTGAGGTTGTGTGCTGTCAGCAGTTATTAACCACTCAGTGCTCATAACTTAAATTGCCAAGGCTTGTTTGTGGTGGGACCACAGGCCGGCAAGTCAATTTTCTGGACAGCTTGAAGGTGTAGAGCTTCTATTTAGCAAGAGCTAAAGGAAATAAGGAAAATACTTTGCTGTGTTCTTTGTGTGCCAATTGCAGGGCTAGCAGTTGGTTAGTGAAGACCACAATTGTCTTTATTCTTCTAGTCACTTTTTAATAGTTTTTCTGGTCTTCTTCCAAGCAGTTTTCAGATGTATTGTAAGCCTCTGCACCTTTGTTCTTGCCCGTGTTCTCTCTGTAGTCTGCAGTCAGTTGTAACTGGAAGATTAAACTAGGGTTGTTTTTGCCCTTGAATGTGCAAGTGGACACACTTTCATGTCCCCACAACTAAGTTGTTGCAATTTCATTAAGATTATATTATATTATTAATTAATAACAGATTTCTGGCACTAATCAAAAACTAAAAAAAAACCTCAAACCCCAAAAAACCAACCTCCAAAAAAACCCAAGAAGCAATCAAACAAAATAAAAATCTATTTCCAGTATTCAAACAGGTATAAAATTTGATTTTTGGGTTTTGTTTCAATGTGCTTTTATGCAATGATATTTTATATGAAAACTGCTTTGGTTTTAACAGAAATAGCTTCTTTAATTTTTAGAAAATAAAATTAATTCTTTTAATTCTTTACTTGGAGTAATATGAAAATAAATGGTTTGGATCCATTTACAATAACCCTTTAAAGTAGCTATATAGAGATACTTCAGATATTTTTGCATATAATATTAAATTAAATTGTTGCTGTATAACCATTGAAACAGTAAATACTATTTTAACTACTGAAATTAAAAACAAACTTGAGCCTTTCTAAATTTTGCAGGCTTTGAACTTCATCCAGTAAGTGGAGAGAAAACAAAATGACAGTGATATAAAATTAAAAGGAACATGCGTAAAGAAGAGATGAACTGATTTTCTTTTTCAATGAGTTTTGTTTTGTGACTGTAAACTGTTAGTTTTTCATGCATCTGGCAATAAGCAATAGTAATTAGTTCTTTTAAATGTGCTGAATAGCATTAGGCACATGGAAGCCATTTTATCTGCCTTGTAAACTGTATTTCTATAATGTCTTATTAAATAAAATTGTTGTAGTTCAAGAACTCAGTTATAACTAATCTTGAATCATGGTAGGGAATACTTTTACAACAGATAAATCTTAGCTTTTAGTACCAGAAAGCTCCTTTTTAGAAATGGAAGTTCAGAGGCATTTCTGAAAGCTTGAAGAATTGAGCAAAGAGTTCCCCTGAGTCTGAACTCATGCCTTTTTTACTTCTTTTTTTACTTTTTTTTTTCTTTTTAAATTTTACTTTATTCTTCCAAATCTGTATTCTGTCTCTGTATTCTGTCTGAATTGGGATATACATTCTGGTGTAATATAAAATCCCATTTGTAATTAAACACATATTAGGAGCGTGATTTTGGAGCACTAGCTTGTTCTGATTTTGTGGTTGAACCTAGGATTCTGAGTGCAGTACTGTGAGGCACTTTGTGGAAGGTAAGGAGTTTCATAAGCTAAAGAGATTTTTCTAATTGTGTGTTCAAAGGTGTTTGGTATGGATGTGGAGTTTTCCGGTTGATGGCTTTTACTCTTTAAAACGTAACAAAATGTAGGTAACATTTCTATTAGATGTTACCTACTGTAGAAAATAGACGAGTGAGCACCTTAAAGCTAATTTTATTCCTTCCTGTGCTTAAGTACTTGATAATTATTTCTCTGTATAAAATTCAAGAGCTTTCTTAGGACAATATTTCTTTCTTCTTTAATTATGCTGTTGTGGTTGTCTAAGAAGATGTATTTATCCTGTACTGAGCTCAAAAGTGACAACAGGGTACTTGAGGCACTGTGCAAATATGTTTCCTCACTGTATCCAGCCTCTTCTGCCTTGTCTGCATGAGTAAGTAGGATTGCAGTGAAATCCTTCCATGTGGGACCCAGAAGTTCCTGTAATGAAAAGCAAATCTTAACTAGTTATCTCTTTTTTCTTTTCCCCACTCCCATTTCATATACTTAGTACATTACCAGACTATTTACATGTATGTGTTTTTTTTCCCCTGGCAGTAATCCAGTGCATGCTATCCGAGTTGCTGAAATTTCTGGGTCTTTTTTCACCTTTCTGAGACATTGACATCCACTTTCAGTGGAAATATGTGGTCATGCACTACTAGCAGTTCTCTGTTCCCTGGCTACAGATGTTAACAGAACATCTTCAGTTAAAAAATGTTCGTGGAAATAAGGAAAAATGGTTGTTTAGCCGTGTCACACATTAGTTTGAAATCAGTAGTTACCACATATCCATATTGCCGCACTGTTAGGAGCTCTTAAAAAACTTTTTTTTTGAAAACACTGAAGCACCTTTTGTTGAAAAAAATAAATGATGAATTTCTGTGTAACATCAACTTCAGTTCCAGCTGTGATCCATAAAACTGAACTATTCTCAGCAATTCAGGAAAAACACAAATCAAATGCAACACCTTAAATAATGGGCCAGAGAGCTTTTCTTCAACTTCGGTGATTTATCTGATGGGGGAGAATGGAGAGAACAAGCTGCTTTTCTTTCAGAAATTACATAAAATTTTAATAGGAATAAGAGAGGTTGGGCTTTAATTTACAGGTGTAAATGGAATTACAGCTTTGGTGCAATCCTGCTAACTCCTGTATATGACAAGAAGCCTACCTTGGTGATAAAAGGACTTTGCAGTGATCTTGATTCTGTAACCTAAATGCTAAGGTATATAAAACTACTTTAAAGGATGTCTGTCTACTTTCAGGGTAAGTGGGGTGTCAAAAACACCTGGTGTATTGATAGTGATTAATCCGTTTTATACACTAGGGTTGAAAAATATCAAACACATACAAAATTTTGCCTTAAGCTGCCCAAGGAAGTCTTGAGTTACCAGTTTTAGCAAGAGAGGAGAGAGCTTTGATTTGCTGAGGACTCAAAATCAGTTACAGTCTTTGTTCTGATATTAGTATCTGCCACTCATAACACATTAGGCTGTTGTTGGAAAACAAAAAATCGCTTTTGCAGTCAACTCTGCTGTAGCTATTGTCACCTGAAAATGAAAGAGTTGCTATCAGGGCAGAGACTTCTACTTTTTTTTTTTGGTTACCTGGATGAGCTGAACTGTGTCATCGCTTTCATCTGGACACAGAGGCAGGTCAGCCCTCAGGACCAAGAGGGCCAAGTGCAGGCCTTCCTCCCCAAAGTGCTGAGCCAGGGCTGCTCTCACCGTGGCTCTCACTTGCTCTTTGCTCAGAGCACTGTGGGGGTAGCTGGGGGTGTCCAGTACCCGAACGCGGAGAGCTGACTCGCGGCCATTTCTCCGCATGAGCCCCAAAATGCGGCCGCTGCGTCCCAGGCTGCAACACGTAGTCACAGAGCTGGGGCAGAGACGGCTCTCGAAGTCTGCACTGCCCAGCAGGCTGTTCCCAGCAGCACTTTTGCCAGTCTGAGTTTTTCCAAGGACAACAAGGTTGATGGTCATCTCATTGCTGTCTGCCATTGTCTGTGCTTTTATCCACAAACCTGTCAGTAAGTATAAATAACATCAGGTGCTTCAGATAACTTGGGGGGTGAGGGGAAAGAAGAGGCAATAATTTCCAATATTCAATGTCTTGAGTTTTTCTCTGCCTGAAATGTGAGAAGAGCCTTAGGAAGAAGCAAAACAGTGTGGAGAGGCAGAAGAAAAGAGAGGAGTTGGGAAACAACTGTGGAAAACACTGTTGCCATTCTGGGACAGTAGTAGGTTAGGAGGAGATAAACTAGGGAAGGAAGAAGGGAATGGTGACAAATAGGTGCTGCTGCTATTAAGTGACAGTGTTTCATGATGTAAATGTTACTTGTTTTAGGAAAAAGAATAATCAAGGAGAAGTAGATTTTAAGGGAGCACTTTTTCACAGATTAAAATGTCTTTCATCAGCTGCCACTGACATTGAAATAGACAGTAGTCTGAAAAGGCTTTCTGATGCAGAAAAATATCTCAATTGAAAAAAAAAAGTAGGAGAGATTAAATAGCAAATCTCATGAAAATGAGATTTTGGAAATGCATACTAAACCAACCTATTAGCGCAGTAAGTGGAAAAGTATGAACTGGTGGACAGAGAGAGGGAGCTGGCTTGGTATAATTTCCAGTTGCTCTATTTGTTCATAAACAAGACCTCTCATTCTCTTTGTACTTTTCTGTGACCCTGTATCTGAAGGGGTTTTGGTGTGTGCTGATCATCTAACAAGAAAACTTGTTATTTAAATAGAGACATGTTTGAGAAGGTAAAACCATAGTGGCAATTAGTGGATTTAAACTTTCTGTAACAGAACTTGAACGTTCTGAACAGAATGTGAACTTCAGAAAGATTTTTTTTTAAAGATGCTATTTTTAAGTATTCATAGAGAGATCATGGATAATTTCAGGCTGGGTTTTCCTGTGATTAATTTATTTAGATTATTGCTGTGCAGTTTAAGTTTCCTGTCTCATATTAATTCCATGCCTAAATCAATATTTTGAAAAAATTTCAGTACAGCACCAAAGATGCAAGAGGAAGTAACATACTAATTTTGTTATAGTCAGAATTGAATATTTATATTATAATCTTCCTTACTGGATTCACAGTGAGGATTTTGTGGATTTTTCAATGATCAGTTTCCTTTTAAGAAAGACATCTTATGAAATGGTTGTCTTCAGTTATTCATCTGTCTAGATATGCATTGTGCACTTTGTACCATAATAACAGGAAGTGGACATGGATTCATCTGTTCCTTTTTTTAATCATAATCAAAGATTTGGGGTTTTTTCCCTGTAAGCAGTCTATGCTTAAATACTTAGATTAGTTTCATTTTAGGTCACTTACCTTATTTTCCCTTAATTTCTTCTTTCATTCAGGCTTCATCATAAGCCACATGTGCAGTGCAAAAAGAAGTTCATACGTGAACTTTGAAACTAACAGCAGCACTGTACCACTCTGAGGCTGTTACGTACACATTAATCTGGTTAATTTATTACTGATAGCTCCTCATTCAATTGCATATGTTTGGTCAGGAATTGGCACAGTTGAATTTTTGTAATTTAGCTGCAAATATTATTCTTGAAGTCACTTAAGTGATTGCATGACATTGATATTTTTAAAAGTAAATTTCATTAGCAGTTAAACGTGCAAATGATAAACGTAGTAGTGGTATTCCTTTGTATTGCATGTTCTTGAATGTGCCTTCATATGTGCATGTGAATAGCAAATGCACTCTCTTATTATTGCAATCAATTATTAATTGCAGTATTTTCATAGCACAGTGTAAATCATTTGCAGATATAAAGATGTTTGCTTCACAAAGATAGATTAAAATAATAACAAATTAAAATACAGAAATTATTTGTGAACCAGGAAGAAAACTGAAGATTTCCTGCAGAACTGCCAGTTGTGCATTAGCTATTGGCTGTTAACCTAATAATTTTCTTGCAAGCATCATTATTTGCTATGCTATAGTAACATACAAATCAGAGATTGTCCAGAAAGGACCTGTCATTTCCTTTTTTCCAGTTTTCCACAAGCAGGAAAGTAACTGATTAGAATATAAATGCAAATTTGTGCTTCAACAACCAGGTTGTAGTTTTAGAATGGGAGAGTGGATGAGCCTGTCCAGTCTGTTCACAAGGATCAGGCATCTCTCTGTAAATCCCAGGGGTGCAGGCACAAGTTTACTCCAAGGGTATTAAGACAGTTGTCAGTAAGAATAATGGTATGTAATACACTAATCTGGTATGTAAGCTGTATGTGGTGGCAGGAAAAGAGGAGTGTGCTCTCTGGAGCCCAGTCCTGCGGGAGACGTCATCCGAGGTGTAGCTCCATGTGGGAGCTTGTAAAGGTTGATTTACCACAGAACCAGGGCTGTTCCTGCCAGCCACAGTAGTGAAGAGGGGCTGCAGTTCCTCTAGAAGCCCACTGTGTCCTGCTCTGGAGCCACGAGCACAAGCAGTGCTCTGGCAGAAGGTGGGAGCTCCTCGTGTGAATTCACATCGTTCGTCATCAATGAGTTCCTTGTTTGGGTTACTTGGCTGAAGGTGGTCGTGTAAAAACTGTTGTTACTGAATGTTTTTAAGAGCATATAGACAAGTGTTCTTGGGCCTGCCTTTTCTTGTGAGAAGTCAGACATGAAAGCTGTCCCTGTATTGTGTGTGTACCTGAGGTAATTTCTCATAGTTCCCACTGCATTAGAGCTCTGTGCTGCACATGGCCTTTGTGTCTCAAGGCATATTTATATATAAAGTGTATGGCAAGGTCCTTCACGTGCTGGTGAATACAAACTCAAAGAAGACTGGATGAGGAGTCACGCAATTGCAAAGCAGAAAGATAGGTAAGTCTCACAGAACTATGGATCTTGACTTTGCTTAAATTGCCAGATCTGTGTTTTATATTGGACTGCTCCTTTGCACATTAATGCCCCTTATAACATCTGAGGTCATATATGGCCTAGCAGTCACATCCAACTAGATAATTTAAGCTGGCATGGACAAGGATTTAGACTACCAAAAAAACTAGAATACAAGAAGCAGGGTAGTGTTGTATGCAAAACACAGTTTGCCCAGCTGGATGCAGAACAGGGCTTTTATAGTGGCAAGATGGCTATAAAATTGAGTGATGTAAAAGAGGCACTCCCTGAATGAGTTCTAAAACTTGGCTAAATTAAAAAAAAAAAGCATTTCAATATTATTGTGAATGGAATACAATCCAAGTTGCAACACATCTGGAAGGTCTTACAACTGCATGGGCAGAGGATTTTAAAAAGTTGTCTTCTTAGGAGGATATGACAGGGAAAAATCAAATTGATTTACATGACACTTGCATGGGCTCCTGAAACATGGAAAAAGTCCTCCCCAAGGTGGCAGTATCAGCCTGCTCCACAGGTACTGTAGAAATCAGCTGGTGTCCCCTTGCTCTGTGGTCCTATGCTGAAATAAAATACCAGATCAGAAATTAGCTACAGTGTTAGAAAACACAGGATCATTACAGGACACAATCTCTCGAGAGAAGAAATGTAAAAAGCATTTTTCTCCCTTATGTCAGAAGAAACATTTAAATTGACATATAAAATGCAAACAGTAGCACCTTAATTAATGAATTTGAGCATCAGTAATGGAAAGGTAGCAGTTAAGAAACAGAAGAGTTATTCACTGTTCCTTACATGACTCTTGAAAATCGAGATCTTTTGTTTTCATTAGCTTTTAAGTTGAGTCAGTGACAATTATTATGAGGCGTTAGATATAAGATCTTAAAATCTACTGCTAGAACATCATCTTGCACAGAGTACAATAAAGTTGCCTAGGATGCTTTTTAGCACTGCTTGCTTCCAGTGGCTGACCTATCTTTTTGTTTGCTTAGTTTTTGCAGACAGGGTTCTTGCAACTGGTAAAGGAAGCCTAGTACCAAGTAAGTCTAGTGAGGAATTTTCAGGAATCTAAGGAAGTAAAATCCTTAATCTAATTGAATATAAGGATCATTTGTGTATCTAGAATCTTTATTTGTCTTTGAAGAAAGCAAGGCTAAAATACTTTGCAAGCAGGCAGTAACTAGAGTTGCATTTTAGTCACATTAGTGTGTCAGCTGCTGTTCTGTTGTAGTCCCTGTGATCATCCAGTTGGTTTGCACACACCCTAAACAAGCTGTCCATGATGCTTGTTAGGGTATACCAAGCAGGCTAGATCTTGTGAAACTGAAAGAGCAGTTTCTCTTTAGGCACATGGTATCTCTTACCATGTGTCATCTTTCAGTTCCCACGCCTTCCCATCCCTTACAGCTTCTTTCCTGTTGTGGGCTCTCATTTTAGTCCAAGATGATGCCATAATAAGTAATTTAAGATGTGCTTTGATGAATTTCTCTTAGTTAGAGGAAACCCAGTGAGGCCATTTTATGGATTGCCACACACAAAGACAGGCTTTTAGCCTGCCCAAACAACATGAGAAATCCAGGAAGGTATGCAGTCCACATAGTCAGTGTGGCTTCACTTCTGTTAGATGTGTAAATTCTAAGAAACAGCAGGCACGTCACTGCTGAGGGAGAAATAGGACAGATTTAGTGGTGTTCTTTTGGATTTTGTTCACATAAAAATCTTCTGATTCCAAAGGAAGACACATACAAATTACACTAAAGGTTCCTTAAAGCGGATGATTATGTTTTTTACCTTGCTTAATGCAGTCCTTAGTATCCATAGTATTTTTAAACATAAGTAATCAATTACTTATATCTACAGCAGTCTACAAGATCATGTTTCTTTTTGCAGTATAAGTGGCTATCTAGGTTGTGTGCCACTATATTGGCCTTGCTAAGGGGAATGGAGGTGGGATGTACCTGCAAACTAAAGTTGAAATTGCACCAGCTTTTGGGTGCTGTCTGTTGGTACAACTGTGGAAACAGCTCCTCAAGTTCCCACTGTATTTCTTACAATGGATTATGGGTTCAGGATAAATACTGCTGGCAGAAAGGCAGATCAAGGTCTCGCTTTGTGTTTGAAAAAAAACCAAATGAACTATCAGAGCAGGGAAAAAACATCAGCTGGACTGCTCCCCACCCCCCCAACCCCCCTTTATTCTCCAAAAGAATCACTAAGATCCAGAAGATTTCTTTGTCTTTCTGTTGCAAATAATAGGCAACTTCAGATTAGAAAGCAGCGTATTTGACATGCTCATCTGGTAAGACTCTGCTGTGGAAGTAGTGCAGGAATTCCTTGCATTGGCAGGAATGATAATCCTCTAAGCACTTTGCTTCTCCATGTGCTTAGAACAGCACTGTAACAAGCAACAGGAGCAGAGTCTCTTCTTGTTAGTACGGTTTGGTGTGACATGGCTTTTCAAAATGTGGGGGAATGCAATGTGAAGTAGGACGTGTCACTTACTGCTGCAGGCTGCCAGCTTCTTAATTCTCTTAACAACCCCCACCTTCTCCATCATTTGAGTGATGACTTTCCCCATAGCACCATATCAATTTTTTTTTTAATATGCAAGGAATGTTTTTAAAACACCATATTGTGCTATTCTGTCTCTTGATCAGGTTACTTAGAGATATTTCAACTAATTTACTTTCACCTGTGTTGCCACAAAATGCTTTCCACAATATCAAGGTTAGACATAAGTGCACAGGTTTGGCTATAAGACTGTGCCACAAGACAAGTGTGTTTATGTCTCTTCACAGCTTCATGTGAAAAATGGAAAATAGGCCAAGAAACTAAGGTGATATTGCAAGGATATAATATAAATAATATTTAAAAGCAACAATAAAATCACCACCAACAAACCAAATTAATAAACTGTTAATTTCAAAGGCACATATTTGGGAAAGAAGCAATAATCAGAAAGAATAAAAATACAGATTTAAAAATACTTTTTCTTCTTTTTCCCTTATACATACTTCGTTGGATTAAATCTGTGACTTGCCTCATACATCTCCTGTTGGGAGCACATGAGTCAGGATACCAGACTCATTCACTTTCTTGTGCTTAGCCTCAGAATGTGTCCATGTGTAAAAGCATTTTGCCCCTGAGACAAAAGTCCTGTGAACAGTGAACATATTTGGAAGCTAAGGAAAACCAGATCTGGCTGTTATTTCTGTAACACTCATTCCCTAATTCTGAGAAGCTGCACAGTTTCTCAGTTTCCTCATCTAAATAATACAGGGAGTATCCACGTCTTTTGAAAATGTGTAGTGGGAGTGATTTAGCTGATGGGAACATATTTCTGTACAGCAATAACAGCATTTCTTACATTAAAAAGAAAAAAAAGTGTTTTTATCATATTGTACAATGCTCTGTAGGGACTGAAGACATACTTTCTAAAAATATTCTCATGATGCCTGGAAAGGCTGTAATAATTGTAACACAAGTATGCACAGAAGTTGTACTGATGCACAGAGTTGAACTGGTCACTCTGTTACTCTTATGCACTCTAATCCTTAAGAGATATTTCATAGAGTACCAGTAATATGAATCTTACAAAGTTTCAACTTAAGGATGTGTAAAAATGATATATTTCAGCTCAATAACATGGGTATCTGTGTGTATTCAGAACAGATTCATTACTCAGTTTCTTTATTTTCTTATTTTCCAGGTTTTCTAGGGTATTTGTATTTCTATAGATACAACATATGTTGAGGACTTTTTTTTAAAAATACACAATAGATAGCAACTCGATATTTTTTATATTTTATTCTGATTCCAAATCTCTCCTGTCTTCCCTTTGTATACCTACCCTTTGGAGGAACATGCTGAATAGCAAAGAACATTTCTTAGAAATACAAGTCTAAGAAAGTGGACTATTAATTAGAAATACTACAATTCTTGATTTTTATAATCATGATACTTGTGGACATCAAACCCGCACAGATGATTTTTTCTATTTTAAAACATTTCAAACAAGCTGAATCTGAGGTCAACTTTCAATATATTTCATGTTGTCAAGCCACTGAACATGCAATGTCAGAATTATCCTGTAAAAGTCACTTTAAAAGACAATGTGGC